AGAAATCAAATCTTGATAAAGACATGTTCCAACAAGCTTAATGACAATTCAAAACATGTGCTAACATCAAGTACTTGAAATTCTTGTGATCCATATATATGGTGACTAGACTAAAAGTACCTTCTAAATAATGATGCCTTTCTAAAAAGGAATCCATAATTGAAAAAATTTCTTTATTATAGATCTCATTGTTAATCTCAACTGCTAAAAAAAAATTTAAATAAAAAGCTACCAAGTATAGCTTATTATCCACTTCCATTGGAGACAAAACAGCACCTATGGCAAAGTCTGATGTATCTGTTTTCATAAAGAATGCTTTTGAAAAGTTGATGCAAAATAAATGTTGTCTTCAAGGCTTCAAAAAGATGCTTTATTTTCTTTATTCTACTCAAGTTTGTCTTTATATGTCAAGTGTATAAGAAGAGCCACAACTTCAAAAAAATTCTTGATGAAGATTTGATAATAATTGAAAAATCTCAAAAATTATTGCACATCTTTGATAGTTTTTGAAATCCTCCTATCTATGATACTTTGGATCTTCTTAGGATCCATCATAATACCATCATTTGAAATAATGTATCTTAAAAAGTCAACTTGAGGAGTGTAAAATATACACTTTTTTTTATCTTGGGATATAATCTTGCATCTCTTAGTTTTTATAACACATGACAAACATGAAGTTCATATTCTTTTGTGTTCTTAGAGTAGATCAAGATATCATTTAAATAATAGATAATAAAATCATCAAGAAACTTACAAAAAATATCATTTATTACATATTAAAAAGTAGCTAGCACATTCATGAGTCTAAAAGGCATGATATTATATTTGAAATGTCCATATCTAGTTCAAAATGTAGTTTTTTATTTGTCTTTTTCTTCAATGCATATCAGATCATATACTTCTTAGAGGTCTATTTTTGTATAGATCTTTGCTTGATTTAGTTGATCAAGAAGTTTTAAAATCAAGAATAGAAAGTACCTATTTTTGATGGTGATCTTTTTTAGTCCTCAATAATCTACACATGTTCGTAGAGATCTGTTTGTTGTCTTTACAAATAAGATAGGAGCCATAGTTGGAAATTTAGAATAGTATATAAAGTTTTTAGCTAAATTTTTATCAATGTATTCTTTGAATATAGCCAACTTGTAACTGATAGGCTATGCATTAGTCCAAATGGTGGTTGAGCTCCTTTTTAAAGATCAATGGAACAATCATAAAAATGATGCTCTAAAAGAATATATGCATTTTTTTTTTTCAAAGACGTCTTGAAAATCTTGATATTGGCTTAGAATGCCACTTAAAATCATTTCTCCATCAACAATAGATGTGGTGTATATAACAAAAGTTGACCCTTCTTTTGCAACATGTATGAAAGCTCTTGCACCAATCAATAATGGCTTGGATGTATCAATCTTATAGATTTCTATTTGCTTAATAGAATCTTAGACTTAACTATGGAAAAAATCAAAATTACAAGAAATCCAATCTATCTAAAAATTATACCTTTCTAATCAAAATAATATTAAAATAATTAGTTTAGAAAGAGATTTAATCACATTAAAAATTATTAAATTATTATGATAATTAATTGTTATTTCTATAGGAATAGTTTTATGTATAACATCTCCAAAAAATAATAAACAACCATCTATTACTTCTACATGCATAGGTTTGATTTTTTTAATTAAAGATATATCTTATTTTTTACAAAGTCTTTATCTATAAAAATGATTGAGGCTCTTAAATTCAACAAGGCTAAGACTTTGTAATTTTTTGGTCCTAAATAACTTCTATTATAAAATAAAATTTTATTATAAGATATCAAAGAAAAGAAGAAAATCTTTATTAGGATTTACATAAGATTCTAGCTGCACCATCCCTATTGTAGCTAAAGAGATTTAATTTTTGATATATTGATTTTTTTGGCAACCATACTCTTCATTTTGTGATTATGTTGCTTCTTTGGACAATATTAAGTAATATGCTTGGATTCTCCACAATATAGGTATAAACCTTCTTGATAATGACAAGTCTTTTCTTGCTTAATAAGAAGTTTAAAACATACCATATCAATTTACATTGGATTTGATCTTCAAAAATAAGTTTTTGAAAACTTGGGATGTATTGTTATTACTTGACTTGTTCCTCTCTAGCCAAATCTTTGTTCTTGACGCTTTTCAAATAACTGATTGTCACATGTAATGGCTAGAGTAATAAATTGTTCAAAATATTTTGCTTTTGGCATTGTCAATAATAAATCTTTGATATTATCCTTCAATCCATATTGAAATTGATTGATAAAGGCTTTGTCATTCCAATCCATGTCACAAGTGAAGTTTTGGAATTTAATGGCATATATGGTGTCTAATTGTGATCCTTATTGTAAAGATAAGAGCTTAGTCTCTCCTACTCTTTCTTGATTGCTTTCTTCAAATGTGGTCATAAACACTTCTAGGAATGAATTCCTATTATAATACAATCCTAAATCTTTTTCTATCAAAGGTGCAAACCAAGAGAGAATACTTCTAAATAGAAGTACTCATATAAATCCAACTTGAATAAATCCATCAGCATATTAGAAAGGATATAACCTTAGATAGAGCTTGATTTGTTACAAAAATCCTTGAAATTTTGATCTTGTTCCATCAAACTCCTTGGGCATACTATTCCTTATCCTTATTATACTTATAGAAGCAAAACTTCTTAAATTTGGTTGTGATGCCAATCTACTTGCTTCTTTTAACTATATAATTTTTTGATACAGATTGTAAACTTCTTCTATATGCATAGGATTATATGTTTTATAATTAACACTGATGATGCAAGAAATTTCAACCTTAAGAGTATTGAAAAATTTGTAAAGATTTGCAATAGTTGCAAATCTATTCTTACTTCTGCCAAGTCAAGCATTTATAATTTTTTCTTTTATTTCTAGCAACTTTACAAATTTATAAGTCAAATTAAAAGACGGTAATCTCTAATGTCAAAAGAGAGGTAATTTTCTCTTTTTAAGAAAATAAATATCAATATTAGAAAATTTAATAGTTTGTTTAAAGGTGGATAATCTCCAACCTTCAAAATACAACAATAGAAGTGGTGTAATCCACTCACTTTTAAAACAAGACAAGAACAATGAGTTAGCACTCTTGTGAAATTGCCCATGACATGAATCTTGAAGAACGAAGTCCTCAATATACTCTTATGTCACTCAAAAGGATTAGAAAATCAATCAAAGATGATATACTATTAAACTACAATGTCTATTGTCAAAGGTAAGATTAGAAAGTCTTAAAACAAGATTAACGACTAGAAAGGCATTAACAAGAATGAAGAAGGCTTCACTCTTGCCTCCATATATACTTTTAACTAAAAGCTACATGGTAATGTCCAATAGAATCTCCAAAATATGTTGACTTTGTGAAACACGTATCTTAACTTACAAGGCAAGTTTTTTATATGTGCGCAACATAATTAGCTTGCTCAGCAAGCTTCCAATATATTGTTAACTTATTGACCAAGTTTCTAACCTATCAATTAACTACAAACACATGTAAAGTCAAAGCAACATTTATGAAGCTTTGAAGAAGCTTCATTAGAAAATTTTATGAAATAAATGTAATTTTATTTACTACAACTTAATCATATAGATAAATATTAAAATAAATATGTATGTTCGTAACAATTCATTAGTTCCATTTCTCTATTAGTTTAAAAATAAAAAAAATTGAAGATAGATTTATATCTACTTTCATTATTTTAATATAAAGTTTCTAAAATCTAGATTCAAATTGATTCATATTACTAAATATAATATTCTATGTTGATCCATCATAGTAATAAGCATTCTAAAAGAAAAAATTAGTTGTTTTTATACCACTAATAATTCTTCAACTTCTATAATAACAATTGGAATAAATATCCATAACATCAAAGAATCTACCAATGATCACCTAAAGTAGTCAAAGTTCATAGATCCTATTCATTAGCAATTACTAGATTTGTAAGACCAACTATCTTGTCATGCTTAAATATTTTACAACTTTTAAGATTTATCTTCTTCAATCATGATGCATATAACACATTATTATAGGTTTCTATAAGTGCAACTCACTTTTTAGGGCCCACATTGTATCTTAATAGTCCACTTTATAAAATGGCATAAAACAAATTTAAAATGCCATCAATTCTATGATCCACCTTTAATAGTATCACCAAGCACTAAAACTCTATTCCAAGATTGTAATACTACATCTATTAGATTGTATAATCTAATTTAAAAAATGAACTTGAATTTTCTTTAAGATCTTCATTTTGACCTTAATCTTGTGAAAGTTCTAATCTAAGTACTTCATATGGCATTTTTATAGAAAGTTTTTTAAGTTAATATATTAGATAATACTATCTTCACTTACCAATTCTTCAATTGTTACCATACAATCTTCTTTGTTGTTCTCCTTCTATCGACAACTTCAATAAAACATTTGATTATAGTTTTGAATTATACAATCACCAACTAATCTACTCTAGAAAACTAACCACATTACATTTGATGATGAACTAACTCCTATCTTTGAATAATAAAAATTGAGTGCATCCAATCAAATTCTCTCATATCCTTGAGGATGATCCTTAGAGATTACAGCAATTTGTTCATTTTTCAAATCAAGAAAGCACAATTTCGCCCCATCGATAATACCCTTAGATTGTAACTGCATAGACGCACGAATAAAGAAGAACTATGATTTCAACAGTAAACCTCTTGATACAAAGTCATGAGCATGTGTATACATGCATGTATATCTCCTAGAGTATACTGGAAGTATTTGCACCACTGGGCAGATGCCAAGTAATAGATTGGACTCTCAAAGTATGAACACACGCATGTGTAGGTGCTCTTGCTACACTTGTGCCAGGAATACCTTCCATTTGTATTTCATCTCAATTCAAGAAAAATGCATGCAATCTTCGCATCCTTTCTCCTCTCTACTTCTACTACGAACAGTCAAAACTGAGCCAAGTCTAAACATAGGTGGCGCACATAGGATTTCTCAAATTTGGCATGTTTGCAGACAGAGAGCCAACTCAGCTTCACAACCGATCCAACCCTATAGAGAACCGTGCATTACATGGTTCATGGACACTACGAGCTGAAACCAATCCTGTCACCCTCAACTCATTAACTCTTCCAAAAACCTGTCCGCACAGTTTATCGAGCAGATGAGCTGAAGTCGCCTAAGGACCGTGCTACGCCCTACTCCCAAAACATGACAGGCTTAACGACCGAGCGGGTGAGGATGGCGCATTCCCAAAACCCATGCTCACGAACAGGCAATCAACTTGCACAAACGTCGCCAACCACACAAACCAGCAGGACAAGGCACCAGAGTTCGAAAACATCCAGGTCCATTCCATTAGATGAAAACATTCTGTCTGGTCCAGATATCTCAGCTACCACGAAGGTCCACATTCCCGGGTCACTCCCTCCAAGAATCCACACTTCCACGCCGCAGAATCAGCCGACTCCACAACTCAATGTCCCAGCTCAAACCGCTGCTATACCCTCACGCCCGTGCCTCTCCACTGCCCCCTAGCATACACCAACACTTACCTAAACACTACACCTTACTAACAAAATCCAACCAGAATATACCCTATCACACGCCCACCGCACCATCATCCCTACAACTTGTCCTCGAAATCCGACAATGGGGTCATCTGCTCCTTCAACCCCTTCCGCTTTCTGATGTCCGACACCAGGGTCGCCGCCTGAGTACCCGCCTCCAGTGGGTCGCTGTTCATCATCTCCCAGTGGTCGAACACGCACTGCGGGAACGCCTGCCCCGACGTCGCCGCTCGCAAGGTCCCCGAAAACCCGAACGACTCGATCACCGGCAAGTACGCCTTGATGTTGTACAGCGGCGTCCCCGGCCTCTGCACCTCCTCGAACACGTGACCGCGCTTCTGGTTCAGCACTCCGTAGATTCCTCCCAATGCACCCTCCGGCGCCTGGATCTCCACCAGGTACACCGGCTCCAGCAGCCGCGGCTTCGCCGTCAGCTGCGCCGCGTACATCACCCGCCGCGCCGTCGGGATGATCTGCCCTCCTCCGCGATGGATCGCGTCCGTGTGCAGCACCACGTCGCACACCTCGAACGCGATCCCGCGCATGTTCTCCTCCGCCATCGCACCCTCCTTCGTCGCCCACTGGAACGCCGCCACCACCGAGTCCTTGATCTCGTTCAGGTACTGCACTCCCTTACACATATCCACCACCATGTTCGGCCCCGTCGTCTCCGGCCCGAAACACCAGATCTTCTTCGCCAAATCCTTGTCCCACCCGAACTCCTGCGCCAGTATCTGCGACCGCACCTTCGGGTCGTCCCGCGGCCCGATCCGCCCGTCGTCGATCGCCTCCGACAGCCCCTCCTCCAACGGCCGCGCCTCGAAGTACAGCCTGTTGTGCTTGTTCGGCGACTTGCTCATCACCGTCCGCACCGACTTGTCCAACACCGTCTCCCGGAACGACACCACTGGGTCCGACACCACGATCTCCGCGCCCCCCATGAAGTCGTCCTGTAGATCCTTCAAACAGATCTCCAAATGCAGCTCTCCCGCCCCCGCGATGATGTGCTCCCCGCTCTCCTCGATCATGCACAACACCATCGGGTCCGACTTCGCCAGCCGCTTCAGCCCCTCCACCAGCTTCGGCAAGTCCGACGCGTGCTTGCACTGCACCGCCACCCGCACCACCGGCGACACCGAAAACTTCATCGCCCTGATCGGGTGCGCGTCCGTCTCCTTCTCCCCCGTCAGCGTCGCATTCTTCGTGATGAACTGGTCCAGTCCCACCATCGCCACCGTGTTCCCGCACGGCACGTCCTCCACCGACTCCTGCCTCCTCCCCATCCAGATCACCGTCCTCTGCACCGACTTCGTGTACAGGTCCTTCTTCCCCCCGGGCACGTAGTTCGGCCCCATGATCCGCACCTTCATTCCCGTCGACACCTTCCCCGCGAACACGCGCCCGAACGCGAAAAACCGCCCCTTGTCCGACGCCGGAATCATCTTCGACACGTACAGCATCAGCGGGCCGTTCGGGTCGCAGTTCCTGATCGCGTTCGCGTACTGGTCGTCCAGCGGCCCCTCGTACAAATTCTCCACCCTGTACCTCTGCGCCGTCGCCGGCGACGGCAAATGGTGAATCATCATCTCCAGCAGCGCGCTCGCCGCCGGCAGCCACGCCTGCATCGTCCTCTTCATCAGCGCCTTCCCCACCAGGTCCTTCTCGTCCGCCTTCAGCCCGCAGTTCAGCTTCGCCAGCATCGGCCACAGCTTCTCCTTCTGGTCGTTCATGCAGATGTTGATCACCTGCTTGATCGGGTTGTACACGAACTGCACGAACCCGCGCTGGCACGTCGCCGACCCCGTGTTCTTCGACGTCCACTTCTTCGTCGCCGGGTCGAAAAAGTTCTCCCCCCACAGCCTCTCCATCATCTTCTTCTCGTCCACCCCGAACTTCCCCGCGTACATCTTCGCGAAGTTCGTCAGCGTGAACGCCCACCCGTGCAGACCCGCCGAAAACGCCACCGTCCCCTTCTCCGGATACACCTGCACGTCCCCCAGCAGCGCGTCCTCGTACGTCGCCATGATCACGTTCGCGCTCTCGATCACCCGCTGGAACGTCTGGTACGCCTCCTCGCCCTCCACCTGCAGCTCCAAAAAGCACCTGTCCATCTTGTTCACAGTCAACACCGGCCTGATCCTCTCTCCCAGTGCCTGCCGCAGCACCGTCTCCGTCTGCACGCACACTCCCTCCACGCAGTCCACCACCACCAAAGCTCCGTCCGTGATCCGCAGCGCCGCCGTCACCTCCGACGAAAAGTCCACATGCCCGGGCGAGTCGATCAGGTTGATCAGGTAATCATGCCCGTCCTTCTCGCCCTTGTAGTCCTTCAGCGACTCCTCCGTCATCTCGTAGTACAGCGAGATACCGGTCGACTTGATGGTGATGCCACGGTCCGCCTCATCCTGCCGAGTGTCCGTCAGCCTCACATCTCCGGCGGTCTCCTGGGCAATGATTCCAGCAGCAGCCACCAGGGAATCCGTTAAAGTCGACTTTCCTGCAAACCACAACCAAACCCCCACACAGTCAGATTCATCTCATTGTCGGCCGTTGTTGCTCCTCACTCGTTTCCTTTATCTTCATAAAGTGTCGTCCAGGGCGTGAACGCCATCCAATGCAGTGGAACAACTCATGCCGGGCATTCAAAAAACACTAAGCTTGAGCGCATGGCTGTTAGTTCCCCACACAAGTTCACATCGATGGCTACGTCGCACACCATGCTAACGGATAACAACATCTAGCTCGATTTCTCGGCTTGAGGATCTCCACATACATGCGGAGCAACGGGCGAAAAGGGGTGCACTCTCTCACCGCCCGTGGGGACCTAGCATGAGCAATTTAAGGTCGTCCTGGTTTTCCCATCCACCCGCGTTTACCACACTCAAAGACCCACTCACGTAGACTCTGGCACTGAACCCCAACTCGGGTGTTGCAGCCTCACTTGCAATCGACCCTTGCTGTCCTCCCCCTTCAAACGGGGCAACGGCTACACATTACTACGACCATATCAGCGCAGACCTAGGGTCGTGCCCTGGGCTTTACAATGCCCTTCCCTCGCATTTCCCCCAATCAATCCTCCGCATCAGGAGGCTGAGGCGGTTACTTCGCCCCCGCCTTCAGATCTTCGAATGGCTCGCAGAAGTGCGAACATTTCGGGTCGGTTTCAAGCAGTCGCCCTTCCGATCATCGCACACTACAAACTCAAACCCTAGTCACCAGACCCAGACTACCACACTGCAAGAGACAGGGACTTCGACATACCGTGATCGACATGGGCGATGACGGACATGTTCCTGATGTTGTGCTTCTTGTCCATGATGGCGCGGAGCTCGTCCGCCGAAAACTTCACCTGTCACAACACGAGCGCACCAATCCATCAGAACATGAAACACTTCGCCCTAATAGGAAACTCCAATCGGACCAAAAACCCCACGATACCCACACCGCCTCGCCTGACTCCGCCCACATCAAATCGACACAATCTATTGCAGCATCCGCATCCAGATATCCATGTCCCATTGCATTTCCTCGTTGGGTAGGAAATCGGCCAAGGATGTATGAGAATCAGGGCGGCTGGAGTGGATATCGCATTACGCAACGAGTCACCCTTAAAATTGCTAGCGGCTAAAAGTTGCGTTTCAACCCCACTGCTCAATACATTCAAAGGTTCAACGACTTACCATCTTGGCGAGCTTGGGATTACCGCGCCCACGACGGTGGTGGAATTAAGGAGGAAGGAAGAGCAGCGATGCAGGAGGGCAGGGCGCTCGTCACTTGGAGAGGAGGAGGTATTTGTTGACGAGTTGAGTTAGGTTGTTCGCGTCAGTGCTGTTCAGAGGAATCGTGATGGATGATCTGGACCTCTCATTGTTTCAATCCGACGGCAAATGTTTGTCAGTGGTTAGGTCTAGGTTTACGTTGTTTTTCGGAATGGCGGTATGACGATCGTTTTTTCTCACGTGGTCCGTGGCTGAGGTGGACGGTGTGCTCTGTTTGTTGTTCCCAGTTCTAAAGTCGTGGGCATGGTGGGTGGTTCCGTTTGTGACAGTTTGGGGTCGAACATATGCAGATATTCTTTTCGATTAAGAAGTGGTTGGAATATTTTTCTTTTATATAACCAGTGAGAGTGTTAAGTATTACTTGTGTTTTCTTTTTGTTCTGTTTTTTTTTCATCTTTGATTACGGTCTTCAGTCATGCAGTCTGTAGGTATTTAAAGTCATTGAATCAAAACTGGAAGAATGTGTATTGTGTTTCATTGAGGTTGGTAATAATGTTTTTCACTATGAATCATATTGTTAAGGTAGAATGGTTTTGTTTTATTCATTTTTTTTCTTATATAGTTGGTTTCAGTGTTTTTAAGTCCAAATATAAAGGGAATAATAAAGCTCATGAATATGGATTAATTGAAATGGTCTAGCTATTGTAGTTGTTTTATGCACTTTAATTTACTATGCTAATACATACATCTACTTTAGTAACATGTTTTTCAACATTACTTCATGCACACAGAAATAATCTCATTCTTTTTCATTCAAAGGTGAATATATTTTATTATATAAATATTATCATTATTATTTGCAATAGTTTCAACATCTAGTCAAAACCTTTCAATTAAAATAATATGTATAATTATATATATATATATATATATATATATAAGTAACCACTTAAGATTATAATATATATATATTTATCACTTTGATGTTGCAGAAAAATTATTTGTTCTTTTAAGGAAATAGTAGATGTTTTTACATATTATATTCTATTATAATATGTATAACTTTTCTCTTATAAAGATGGTTATTTAATAAGAACATGACCACTTGATTTTAGTTAATGTTACCTTTAGTAACCTAAACTTTTCAACTTTACTTCCAATTGAGATATTAATTGGTATTTGGACTTCTATTTGTACAAAGTATGGATTATAGTATTTGTCTTCAGTAAGATGATATGAGTTAAAGATATAACTTTAAAATTATTGTTTTTCCTTGTAAGATACAGACATTTCTTAAAAGAAGGTAGAAGAAAAAGTACAGTAACTATAGTACAAGACTTGATTACAAATTCATTACTTTATTTTTGATACATTAACCAATGACTTAGTTTTTTTGCATAATATGCAACAAGTATTAATTTCTCTATAATTTTCTATAAAATAAACTTATATAGCATGTATTAACTTCATTTGTAATACAAGATTTAATATTATTTAAACTTTATATTTATAAACTTTTATATAATTGCAAATTAACATATTGAAGTATTAAAAATTTGTTCTAAATTTTAAAGGTTTGGAATTATTTTTTTATTCAAACATCAAGTTCAAATCTAATATATTTATCTAAATATTTGTTATCAGAATTTAATACTATATATATATAGTTGTAATCTCTTATTTAGTATTTTAATATGTCATAATATTATCTTGTCAATAAATAGGTTGTCACTAATGCTACCACCATTTTTGCTACTACCATCACTTTCTTTGCTACTTCCACCACATTTTATTTTTATCAAATTTTCAATTATTATCCATGAAAATTGAATTTCCTGTCTTTAACTTGAAAATGAAAAAGAACGTATAAAAAATATCAATAGTTTTTTATATTTGAATAATAATTACTAAATAAAAATATGCCAAGTGGGTGGCAAGTTGTCGTGACAATAACAAAAATTGTGGCAATATTTGCAATACATGTAAAGTAATGTAACACAAAAACATAAAGATGTTGCATGATACAATCAGCATGCCATCAATCCATGAAAGAGTTTTTTTCCTTACAAAGTGCAGGAAATATATACATTAGTAATTTTTCAAACCAAACGTCAACAATTCAAACCTCAGAAAGAATTATCTTTTCAGTTATTTATAATTGATTTTTATCAAGAATAAAAAAATATATGTAAGAAAAATTACTTTTCAAAAAATGGGTAATTACTGCTTCAAATTTTTCTAGTAGATGAAGATAGAAGAGTACTTCTAGAAACTTCAAGTCCAGAAACATCCAAACTAAAATGATTAAAACCTGAATGAAACATTTTGAAAAGGTCTCATATACAAAACTGATGGGTCACACTCAACTCTTCCTGGTCGCTTCGTTTTTCAATACCACCATATTGAAATTGTCAGTATTCTTGCAATAACTCTGAAGGTTTTATTTTATATTTGAAAAATAACTATCAAAAGAAAAAAAGAAAAGAAAAACAAGAATATACAAAATGAACAATCTACCGGAAGGGGCAGCGACAAAGGACTCAAACAATCCTCTAGAAGTTCCAGTTAGAAACAAAAAAGAGGAATCAGGGGCGAGACAGACGAAGAGTTACTGTACTGTCACTTGAAATGCATCTCAACGAACTAAAAAAAGGTGCAGTAACTCTAACAATCGTTAATTTAGATGCTCTGACAGAAAACATTACATGCTACAGCATGTTCTGTAGAGATGGCATAGGGGCTTGGCGAGAGTGACAACTCAAAGCACTGACATTCTGCAGCTTTCCACTCGAGCAACAGTACTAGTGGTGGGTACAACTTCCATTTATCAACCTCCCATTACACTCGACTTTGTAGACTGACTGCAAAACACTATCTCTCAGTTTTCCTGTCCCGATCAGAGGTCATGCGCCGGCGCTTCCCATGATCTTCTTCTCGGGAACGAGTCCGATCCTCCTCTTTGTCTCGGGGGGCTCGAGAAGCTGGTCTCTCTGCCCTGTCCCATTCCTTGTCCTTCTCTCGGTCGCCTCTCTCTCCACGCTGCTCGCGATACCCATCCCTCTCACCGGTCCGATGCCTTTCACCCCTCTCCCAGTCCTCCCCTCTGTCACCACTTCTCTCATCCCTCCGCCTCCTTTCAGGTCCCCACTCTCCTTCACCAGCGCCCCTCTCTCTTTCCCTTGCTGGGCCAACCCTCCCCATTTCACTCCCGTAGCCGAACTCAGCACCACCCATATCCTCTCCTGCATAACCACCTTCGCGCATGTGTCTTTGATGCTCTTCCCAACCTGGCATGCCGACTTCTCCCCAACCTCCGGGAGGCCCTTCAATACCTGGCCCAATACCAGGACCATTTCCATTGCCCCTTCCAAAGAAGGCTGGATTCACGTGTGCTGGAACACCAGGTAAACCTGGACCCATAGGAGGGAATGGAGGTCCAAACATTGGCCCTCGTGGTCCAAATCCGGCTCCTCCAGGTCCCATGCCAAAGCCACCTCCAGGTGGCCCAAAACCTGGTTCGAAACCCTGACCCATCATTCCTCGGGGGGCCATCATACCACCAGGAGGAATTCCCATGCCAGGGCCTTGTGGCCCGAACGGGACCATTCCCCTTCCACGCCCTCGTCCAGGCGCCTGATTTCCTCTTCCTCGTTCCATACTTGGTTGACCCCTTCCTCCTCGTCCTTCACCTCCTCGTCCAGCAGCTCCGGCATTGCGCCCCTCCGCTGCTTTTTTCCCCTGTCCACCCTGAGATTGATTCTGTGGATTTGCTTGATTTTTCCCAACTTGAGCAGCTCCCATCTGCTTGATTGTCTGTGGCGAGGCAAACGCCACAACACATGCTCGTCCATTGAATACTCGCCCGTCCATCTTCTCTTTACACACTCGAGCGGCTTGTGAGTCAAAAAATTCCACCTGACAGTAGCCTTTGGATTTGCCACTGGCTTTTTCTTCAAAAAATTTGAGATTTTTGATCCGACCATATTCTGAAAGAGCTGCTTCAAGCTCGGCATCGGTAGTCCACCATTGCAATTCTCCAACGAATAACATCAACCCACCACTCTCGGAACCTTGCCCAGCATGCTTAGCTGGAAAATCATTACCGACGTTATTTGCAACTGCGAGAGAATTTCCAGCTTGTGCACCTGCAAGGCAAATAAACTCGCTTAATTATTTTCAGCTCATTGTAGTTGCGCAATAACATAGCTAAGAAAAAACACTCGTAAATAAATCCCTAATCTCGTGATACTTAAAGGGAGCGAAGAAACTCGCAAAGGTGTATTATAGGTGAAGCTGTACTGTAAACATCAAAAAAGTTCATGAATCAGAGGACTGGCAAAATTTAAGATAACAAATAATCTAAAAAGAAGAGATTTGAAATTGTCAAGCCAGATAGCACTAAGATAAACTCCATATTATACAGCATTCTAGTATGCTAACAATACAATAATCGCTCAAGAATCTAGAGCGAATGTTGAGCTTGCAAACTGTCCAAGCCGAACGTCTACGGGTAATGGTCTGTTTCAAAAATATTTCTAAGTAGACTGTAAACAACGTGGGTATCTGAGATTCATCTCCTTGCGATTTTGGGTTTGATCGAGATCAATTTCTATGAGCCTAGAATTAAGAAGCTTTACTTCCCAGATATTCCTAAGTCAAGATTATAATGTAGTAACATGCATATATAACTGCAAGGATCCCAAGGACGAATTTGAGAACTCACTAAAACTCAGGTTCTAGCTGCAAAAATGACTTGGACCAAAAAACAATGCGGTTATAAAAATCAGCTAACCGCTGAAACCCGTGATTACGAAGTAAAATCTTTCATCCTAACAATTGCCATGAACATACAAACAGAGTTGTGGAATACCAAACCTCAATTGCAAAATATGATACAACTGTACACAAAGTGAAACGTGAGAACTACCTTCTACCTACTTCTGCTCTAACCCAAAACCAATACTAGAGAGCGTAGTTACAAGACAACATGCGCTGAGCAAGGAGAATTTAACAGACTTTCCAAATCAGATACACTGTCAGGAAAACCTAGATCCTCAGATAGGCCTGGAAAATATGTGTATGCACTAACATTCAGATTGCTATCTGGGAAAAAAGGCGCTCCGGAAAACAACTAGCAGACCACGCGTACAAGACATGGAAAGGAACTCAAGCGGTAGCAGGAGTGCGAAAAACCCCGACCTGCAGGACCGCTGCCCGCTGGCCAACTACCCGGATGGAAACCTTCCGACCTGGGACCCCGACCAGCACCTCCTTCAGCACCACCGCTACCATTGAGTATCTCCGTGTTCTTCCCACCCTTGGGCACGGACGCTGGCCGTCCTGGCAACTGGATCCCCTGCTCAAACTCATCCTTGGGTTTCGACAGCAACGGGTCTGCTTCAGTATCTTCATGCGAATTCTCTTCCTTTACCTGCGCAATGTAATCATTCTGGTAACCCACACTCTCCTGGGGCGGGCTTGCAGATGCGGCCATGGCATGCCGCACGGACATCAACCGTGCATCCCGAGCTTCAACCCCTAATGCTCCCTTCGATTCTCCCAATAAGTCCTCGTCCTCGTTCCCAGAATCCATCTCCCCATACCCATTCTGAGGCGCGATTCGTCCGGATGCCTGCGCCCCATAAACACCAACATTCACGTCGCCATAAAGATCCTCTTCGAAGTCATCCTCCTCGTCGAGCAGCTCCACCTCGTTGAGGCGACTGCCGTTTCCATCATTTTCGTAATCAAGATCCTCTTCTAACACATTGCCCTCGAACGCCATGACGACGACGACGACGACGAAGACGACAGCACCGCTTTCTTCTCTTCCAAACGCACTGCCCGCAACCATAACAAACAAGACCAGCTCCCTACCTCTCTACGGATTTCCAACGGAAAAAGTGCTCATACTCATATTGTAACAGACAACGAGAGCTCCATCTCAAAAACCCAATAACCCTAATGACGACGCAGAGATAATTGATTCTACCCTCTGCTGCAAGCGCGTGCTAGCTCTCTCTTTTTCGCTCGCAGGCTCCTGCGCGGGCTTGCTCAGCCCTCACCTACACAACAGACGATTCTAAGCTAGAAACCACCGTGCGCTATGCCAACCAGTACATCTCCTCCCTCCCTTCCCAGGGCCTGTCCTTTAAATACCACTGGTCCACAGCACTGAGGAAACTCCCATGACCCAGCTAACAAATCCATCAATATAACACGATGCCCTAAGTGTAATGTAATGTGAGACCCCAGTATTGATTGGAACATCGGTGATGATCCTTTTGAAATAGAGGTTTCGTATTCCACAACTTTGTTTGATTGCTCATTAATATTAATTGTCATGTGATAGTAAAATATAATATCAATAATTGTCTATTGCATAACTATGTACTTATATATAATCATAATTTAGTTTACTTGTAATACATGTTTTCTTAATACTATAATTATAATTATAATTTTAAATCATCAATTTCTTCTTCAATATATATATATATATATATATATATCTATTACGTAGACACTATTCTTTTACTATGTATAATCCTAGTAAATGATAATTAGTTTTGATTTTAAATTATAAATATATATAGATATATAAGATAATATTAAATAAACCTATATTTTTACTAAATTGACCTACCATATTATAACCATGACTAAAAAAATTGATCATCTCTAAACAAAAATATTATTAGAATCATAGCCTTCATTTTTACCTTCCTTATTCTTAGCCTATGCTCCCTTTGTTTCCAACCTTCATCTCGACCCCCCCCCCTCTCCCTTCTCTCATCTAGACTCCTATATTTTTCATGTTCCTAACTCTCATCTTGATCCTTATTCTTAATCCTTATCACCATTATATGCCTTCATACTAATTGTAATTATAGTTTTAAGAATTAGCAATGAATTTGAAGAAAAAAAAGTTGGAGAAGAAGAGTAGTTGTGCTAGAGTAGATAATGAAGGTGACAAAGTTAGTGGAAACTAGGCCTATTTTACTCAATTTGTAACTAATGAGTAGAAATTCTCTCTAAATGCTATACCTACCAATTGTGAAATAATCAATTATATTGCCACAATTTCTACAAATAACTAAACCTCATATATGTGCCTACATATTAGTCTTTGTATTTACTGAAGCTAGCGTCTTACATGTATGCATTCTTTTGTAATGTTATACATCTTGTTTGCACTAATAGTTGTTCAAATAAATAATAATAATAAAAAAATCATATTAAGCTTTACTTTTTTATTAACTACATTTATTTTGTAGGTTTTACAATTGTCAACATTGTCTTTTCTTCTCTAAATCATAGTCTCTTCATAAGATACTTCTTGAACTTGCCTATCTCAATGTCATGGATGTACATATTTATTCTAATAATTACTTAGATAATATGAATAGATAGAAGTAGATAAAAATAGATCAATTTCATAATAACTTTAAAAAAAACTTCATAAAAGCTTTATAGACAAAATTCCATCTTTGTATATGTTAATAGGTAATAGATAGGTTAAAAACTTGGCAAATAAGTGAGCTATATGTTGCACATATTAATAGCTTATGGTACAAGCTATTAATGAGGTGCACATAAAGAAAACTAATTGTACAAGTTAAGACATGTATCTCACAAATTCGACACATGTTGGAAATCCTATAGAATGTTGTCATATAGCTCTTACATAAATAATATATATAGAGATAAGACTGAAGCATTTTTCATTCTTGTCAACTTCTTTCTTGCTTCTACTTTAATTTCAAGGGCCTCTAATTTTCTTGACTTTTGGCAATAAACATTATATATTTTTTAATATACATATTTTTTTAATTCTATTTTATCTTCTTTTTTTGAAACAAGTTTGACTTATTTATTTACCTTCATTAAGTTTAGGTTCTTATATCAAAGATACAAATCTCAAAGAACTAAAATGTCAATACACTCTTATGTCACTCAAAAAGACTAGAAAAATCACTCAAAGATGATATAGTATTAAATTAAAATGACTATTGCTAAAGATAAGAAGATTAAAAAGTCTTCAAAGAAGACTATGGACTAGAAATGCATTGATAAGACTAAAAAAGGCTTCATTCTTGCCTCTATATATATTCTTAATTAGGTGTCACAAATATACAACTGAAGAAGGTTTGAGAAGATTTTAAGAGGTTCTAGAAGGATTTAAGAAGGTTCTTGTAGATCCTAGAAGATTTCAGTAGGTTCTAAGAAGATTCTAGTAGATTTTAAGAAAATTCTAGAAAGTCATAGGAGATCTTGGAAGGTTCTATGAGGCTTTAGATGATTTAAGAAGTTGCCAAAGAAGGATCTTAGGCTTGCTTTGTTATCAAGCCTTATGAAAACTTCTCTAGAAGCTTCATAGGACCTAATATATATAGGAGTCAAGGTTGAGGAGATCCTCAGATTTGACAACTCACTTCTTGTAGTTTAGCTAAGACCTTCTTGCCTTGTATTCAAATATTTTTCTAATGTCAAGCTAATTCTATTTTTTGGTCTTGAATCCTTAACTTATACATAGTCTCTAATAGTTTGTCAAGATTGCCATAAAACAATATTAGAATCTTGGTCTTTTTTGACAGAGAGTGGATTATTCCTCTTCTTAAAAGTATTATAATATTTTAGATGTTACAGATTATCTTTCTCTAGACTAATATTATTCTTTTTTTAATATTTTTTTTGATTTTTTTTTCTTTATATCATAGATCAAGTTTTTTTTTTTTTTTTTTTTTTTTTTTTTTTTTTTTTTCCTTTGAATGTGTAAGTTTCTTTGATTTTCTACGACAAAAGGTAGAAAAATCAATATGACAGACTTCAAAGAGATGAAGTTAGATTGTGTTATTAATACTCTTGAAGCATTGAGGATCAGGACGAAGACCTTGTTGAAGCAGAATGAAGAACTATATATGACCATACATAATGGTCAAGGAGCCGGTATCATAAACATACATATTTATCTTGATAATTATCTAGATAATAAGAATAGGTAGAAGTAAGTCAAAATAGATAAATATAATAATATCTAGTAGAAAGCTTCCTACAAGCTTCATAGATGTTGCTTTGCCTTTATACATGTCTATAGGTGATTGATAGGTTAAAAACTTGACCAATAAGGAGGCCACGTATTGACATGTTAACCACTTATAGTACAAGTTGGACATATGGCGTACACCTAAGAAACTTGCCTTGCAAATTAGACATGTGTTTTACAAGTTGGATGCATATTAAAGTTTCTATAGCATGTCGCCATATAGTTCTTAGTTAAGTAGTATATATAGAGGCAAGAGTGAGGCCTTCTTCACTCTTGTCAACTCCTTTCTTGCTTTTAGTCTAGTTTCAAGAGTCTCATGTTTTCTAGTCTTTGGCAATAGCCATTCCAATTCTTCTTTGAATATACATATTTTTTTCTATTTTGTTAGTTTCTTTTTGATACTTATTCCACAAATTTATGTATCTTCTTCTAATTTATATCCTTAATAAATTGATAAAAGTGCACATACAATATCAGAGCTTTGTCTTTTCTTAATTAAGAATGTATTATCTCTTTCTCTTGATAAGATATAAGGATATTAGAAGTTGCGGATTACCCTCTCCTAAATTGATATTTTTTTTAGATTTTTTTTCTTGATTCTTGAGTATTGTATTCTAAGAAAATAGATAATTTTCTTTTATTATGCTAGCATGGCAAAGCTTGCTGAAATGAAGAGTGCAATGGCTCAAATACAAGAGTAAATGAGAGAATTAATACTTGCAATAGATCAACTCAGTCTACCACCATAAGAAGCAAGAAGATTATCACGCAATGAAGATATAGAGATGATTGAATTTGCTTCAATATCTATACCAAGCCATACTACTGTTCTTACAATGGAACAATGTTTAAGTTTCAAAGAACCAAAAATTGGATTGTGTGAGAAGTTTGATAATAAAAGATCTAAGTTTCGAGGATTCATCAATGAGATACAACTAGTAATTGAACTACAACCTCAAAGTTATCTAACTCAAAGATAACAAGTCAGGTTTATTGGAATACTACTTTCAGATTTTATTTTATCATGGTTTTTATTATTTCTTGAATAACATGATCCAATATTGGATAATTTTGAAGCATTTTTAGCAAAATTTTGATCTATATATGGAGAAGATGATGCAATTTGTATTGCAACTAAGAAGATTTGTATCTTGCAATAAGATAATCAATTAGTGTCATTATCTGCTTCACAATTTTGATAATTAGCAACAAATATCAAGTGGGATGATGCAACACTTATCAACCAATTTCTCTAGGGATTACAATATGAAGTAAAATAATTGATGCTTAATTTATATGATCCTTAGACATTGAGTCAAGTAATTGACTTTGCTGTGAAATATGATAATCGACTTTTTGAATTTTAATCTGAAAATTGCATAAGAAAACCTCAACATTATTATAATTCAATGACGACACCAACGACTTCTTAATCTAAAAATTTGGAAGTACAAGACTTGTAAATTAATGCAGTATGTTTTAAACCTCTTATCAAACAAGAAAAGACTCATTGTTGTCAAGAAGGACTATGTTTATATTATGGAAAAGCTAAGCTCATTGTTTGAAGAAATGACGCAACTACAAAATGAAGAGTATTGCTGTCAAAGTTGAAAACATGTCAAAAAACAAATTTGTCCACCTATAATAGAGACCGTGCGCTTGGAATCTTGTATAATTCCTAATAAAGGTCCTATTCTCTCTTTAAAATCTTCTCTTTGTTTTATAATAGATGTGTATTTTGGATCTAATAATCACAAAGCCTTTGCCTTAATAGATTTACGAGCCTCAATTTATTTTTTAAATGAAAAATTTATTACAAGTCATAATATACAATTAGTACAAAAAAATAAATCCATATATGTAGAAGTCATAGACGATCATCTATTATCTTCTAGAGATATTATTCATGAAATACTTCCTATAAATGTAGTAATAAATGGTCATAATAGTCATATAATTTTTAATATAATTAGATCTTCTTTTAATCTAATCATTTTAGGTTTATTGTAGCTAAAAAAATATAATCATGTAATAGATTGGATTTCTTGTAAACTTGATTTTTTTTTCAAATATCATTAAGAGTTTTATTAATTCAAT